AGTCACGATGCTCTTTTGAGATAGCCTGCGTTTTCAAGGAGTGATCGAAATTTTGTTACTGAAGTTAAATTTTTATTTCGATGCATACTATGCTATGTTTTTTATATTATATTTTAGTTTACTGATTTATTAAATGTAACTAATATTTGATCAAATAAAATAAATTTATTTTTAGAAATGTGTATTTTATTAAGAAATAATGATATATGTTTTGCTACAGATTTTCTGTTTTCTTCGTGAGCCTACAATAAAAGGAACTTTTTTTTCTAATTTTGCTTTCTTAACACACACAAGAATATTTAAATCTCATTGTGAATATTATACTTTGTCATTTGAACATATCATTCTATTTAACTTTATAATGTCTCCTATACTTTGAAAGCATACACTAACAACACGTTAGTAGACTGTATAGGGAATTATCTATAATTATTATGTACGACAAAGTCCAGAGGACACTGCAAAGAACCTTTTATTAACTGTAATTTATGTTCACAGATGACACTGACTCGTACTTTAAAAAAGCCAACATTTTTGGCTCAAAAAAGGTAACGAGTAACATAAAACTAACGGATTTAAGTTTAGCCTAATGCTGTCATAGGTTATCTAACGCGCAGGCTGCCTCTAACTCGTAAAATTTCGCGTAAACAAGCCTAATGGCAAGAGGCGCTTAACACTACAGAAATCGAATCGCTAGTAAATCAAAGGACAGCAACGTGGCCTTCAGGCGGGCAGAACACGCTCTGAATTCATTTTTCAAAACCTTCCCTTAAATGCTAACTTCTTTCTATAACATATATTATTATTAATTATATTATTAACATATATCATTAATTCGAAATCACGCGCGCTATCTGACTTACATTCTGGCACGAAAGCGTGACTTGAAAGCAGTGAGTGACAGGAAAGGCTGTTTCATAATAAAATTAACTGTTAAGTAAATTAAATAAATCCTCACATCTTTAAAATACATAAAATTTTGAAAATTAATTTCATGTAATTTTCTTTCGTAACAGCAGTTTTTAAGGGACTAGTAATGCATATGAGTACAGAATAAAGCAGCTAGACTACTGTACTTGAAGCGGCTCAAAGCAGAATATGGAGCTTTATTACCTAGTGATTATTTTTACTGCGACAGCGAAGTTTAACAGTTTTCAGTTTATGGAAATATTCAATTTATTTCTTGAATGCCTTGAAAAAAAGAACTGTATGAGTAATATCATATCAGCTATTTCGTTCTTTCAGAGTAATAAAATTTATAAATAACATACGTATGAAATTGCAGTTATTTCAAATACTAGATACATTTTAGGAAAGAAATTCAGAAAAAGTCCTAAACTTATATTTCTTTTCTTACTCAATCGATGATAATTTTCTTTTAGCAGCTCATTTTAATAAGTTTTACCTAGAATTTATTATAAAAGTATGAAATATTTATATTGTCCTACATCTGTCATTAAAAAATTTTTGCTGTATAAATTAATAAGAAAACTTGAACACTGCTGAAAAGTTTTCATTGAATGGACGCAGCGTTTTGTATTTACACAGCCTGCAGAGAAATGTCTATAAATAATTTTTCCTAGAAAGTCAAGCCAAATTCTGTTTCAAAGCAAAACGTTTAGAGTTTACTTTTATTACATTTTTGTCTGTATAGCGAATATTTTTTTAACATTTTCGGTGGCTTCATTGACAGAAAGAAGAGCAGAATTGAACACATGGCATTTCTCTATACATACCAGTCTTCTATTACTGGAAGAAAAGTTTTCCAAGAAGTTTAAACTCCGTATTGGAAACATAAAACGCTGTTACACATCTTGTTATTGGTTTTTCGTCCTGCTTCTTTTTGTGTCTTTCCATTAAATTCTCAAGGGATAAGTGGATACACAATTTTTTCGAACTATATTTCTTTTGGTTTAAGGCAATATTAAATTGTAAAGAGCTTTTCTAAAATTTTTCGTGTTTCTTCTTTTACTGTATTAGTCAAATATAAAAGAACGCTTTCAATCACTTAGTCTCAAAGTTTGCTAGAGATTATTTTCAGAAGATATATTCTTGAGTTTGCCAATAATGGAACTATAGTTTTAACTTCAAAGTTTTCTTAACCTATGATCTTCCCCCTTTTCTCGAATAGGATATTCTGTCCTCAAAAGAGAGATATGAAACAGATACGTTATTCAGGAATGAAATTATACCAAATGTTTAAATTTCTTGTATAAATATAAATGAATATATTATTTTACATGCACAAGAATTCTTATCGAAAACCAAGTTTGAGACGTATCGACCTCAAGATTAAGATTATTTTTAAACACTGAAACTTAAATTTTGGATCACAAAACATGAGAACATCCAACGTTTCAGAAACATTTTTTTTAAAATTTAAATAAGCACAGCAGAGCTTCAATTATCGAAACTGAGGTAAGTGAAAAATGAAAATTTTTTAAGCTTTTTCTCTATCGCTTTTTGATACTTTAAATCAGAGATAGAATTTTGGTTGGGTTTAAGAAAACTTTTAAGGAAAACGCATGATATAAGCATATACATGTAATGATTTTAAAATGCGTAGATGAAAGCAGTGGAACTCTCAACAGCTTACGATACTGCGTAGATGAAAGCAGTGGAACTCTCAACAGCTTACGATACTGCGTACATGACCGAGAAGACCGTAGTGGCTTGATTGGGAATCAGATAATAATTACCTTTTTTATTTAATCCATTCGTTAAACGATGTGAGATTAGTTGAAATAACTGCACTGAAGTTCCACGCCTGTAGGGTCGAAAATCGGCTGCGCCATATATTGTAATGAAACTGTGGTTGAAGGTGGCTGAGTGGAAAGCATGATGACGCAATTTAGCACAACATATCTTGAAAATCACAATCTTTATTTTTTCCATGCATATCAAATCATCCTTTTTTCAGATAAGATACTTCCTAATTATATTGATACATAATTGCATTTTTAGAACGTCATCTAAGTAAGCAGCAGCATGGTGTAAAACTTCTTGTCAGCAGGAAAGCTATGCGGGAAAAAGGCCAAGGTTATAGTACTTTCATAGGAAGAAGGCTGGGAGTGGGAAAGTTTCAGTTCACAGTTTTGGTTTAGAATTAATTTGATTGAACGAGAGGCATCTGCATTAAAACGTTACATAAGATATAAAAGTCTGGAACCTGTGAGAAGAGATGAATTTAGGGGCAGATTACCAAATTTAGAATATTAATTTTGAGGTCGTCAATTATTTTTTTTTTAAACAGCTATCATATTTGCTATATCTTACATACATATATATATCAACATATTACCTACATATGTTAACATGTTACATTTTATATACTAACAAGTGCGCACACACATGCGTTTATACAAATAACAGTAAAATGTCTAAGGCGGTCCACATAATCCAACAATATAGTATGCCTAATTTCCAAATGCTTCTCTGTCACTTACAGCGGTAACAAAAATTTTGCACAATTTGTGTTTCACTAATCTGTCTTCATAATTTCTCATTACTTGACCTGAAAAGATGGTTACTAAGTAAAATTAATTCTTCTTACGTTTAAGAAGATAAAAATCAAGAACCGTGTTGTGTATCTTAACTTGTTTTTCGGCTTAATCTTAATTTGTTTTTAGCAAACACTTTTCTCTAACGTAAGATCTAAATTCTCAATTTCATGTTAGTTAATTTACCAACATTACGCTCCATAATTTGCTTTAAAAATAAAACTTAAAATATATCTTTCTAAGTACTGTCTTAAAGAAATATAGATTACTTTATTTAGTTTATTTAATTTTGCTATTGATTGAAGTTTAAAACGGTAATTTTGTTTCAAAAACGTATTACTACAGATATCTTTGTTCTTAATTTTGCATATTTCTTGCTGCATATTCCGTTTTGTTAATGCTAAAGACAGATCCTCTGTCTCTAACAGAATATTATTCGTCAGTAAACTGTATTCCCATTGTATTCTGGTTGAACTTTTAAAAAAAGTACCAAATCTTTAATGGGTATTTATAATTAGACAAAAAAATCAACAATATTCTGCAGTTTGAATCTGTTAAAATATCCTTCTGATGCTTAAATTTCCATTTGAATGAAAACGGAATAAGAGATTCTTTTAAGCTACAAAATGATGAAATTTCTTTAAATTTTTCTTCAGGTTTTAAAATAAAAAAAGGCTGGGTATTAGCTCTCTTTCTCAAGAAAGCTGCATTTCAGTTAAAAATCCAACGCATCGCTTGGTGAAAGTTTACGCCATTTTTTGGAAACAAAAAACCATCTTTTCTAATCTCCAAGCAAGATTTTGAATTCTGGGCTGTGGCTCAGACGAAATAAACAAACTTCCCTTCCGCAACTGGCTTGGTAATTTAGTAGTGACGTTTTTCTATGTGATTCAGGAAACTCTTACAGTCTGACTATTGTTGATATTTGAAGATTTTTGGAAAAATTCCTCGAAATATCTTGTGGATACCAAGAATGTTCAGATTAAATAAAATATTAGAATAAATGCTTTAAAAATTCTTTGTTGATTGAAAAATAGTCACTAAGTCAGGACACCTGCATAAAAAGTTTCAATGTTTTTTGAGTATCTAAGTTATGGTACCTAGGGGTTATTTTGGTAGAAGAGTTAACTTTTCAATCTCATATATTTTACGTAAGGGACAAAGCACTTGCAGCGCCATTTATTCGTCATAAATATCGAAATGATAATATTTTGGTATTTTCAGTTGAGCACACCTACTTTAAGCTACTAATATCCTGTACGGACGATGGCAACCAAGATTAGTCAGAAACTATGGCCAGTTCTGCAAATCAACGCATTAGAATCAAGATATTTAAATAGATACATAGTATATTTTAATGTCAATGCACGAATTCAACTAAATATATCAGAGCCATCATCTCATCTATTTAGTAAATTTGGGATTAGGTTTTCATAACACGTCTAAGGACAGGTACAGGTAGAAGTGGGCGGGACATCAGAATTTCACGACTTGTCATACAGGTATGGTTCTGCTGCACTAACTGTAGTTTCACCTCCATTTTCAAGAAAAATACTGGCAGTCCTAGAGTCTCCTTCCTCTGCCATCAATTTCTCGAGAGGATATTTGTCTCGTCTTGTAATTTTAGCGCCTCCTGGACGCACATACATTATACGCTTACAAACATCCATGCCTTTTCCGGGATTTAAAGCCGGACGCATTCGGCTTTACTTTACACTAGCCACCAGTTAGGCGGCCAGGCTTAATACAAGTTTACCACAATGCAATCTGACAATTCTCTGCTTTTCTAATTTTTACTGACGAATGAAATTAGCTATTGGGGTATACACGGGAACAGCATTTAATTCGGTCGTCACTTGTAAATAAGAACTGATCTCCGGCTTCCCCAAGGACATGTTTTTGTGTGCCAACCACAATAAAGAAATAGTAGAGTAAGTACTGTTAGCAAAGCAAGAAAGAAAATTGCTGAGGAGAGCGATGAGAGTCCTCAGGGCATCGTCCCTGTGTGGCCAATTGCGGCTCTTTTCCTGCATTAAATGTCTAAATGCTGTCACTCATTCGTGTCCCCTTTTTTATATTTTCAGAGTCAAAATGAGCAGAAACTGCCTTTTTCTTTCGAAGCAATTGGTCTTAGCAAAGCGTAAATGCCTGTTGATTATGGCCGCTCTGTTTGGAGCTATTAGGTTTAGTATGAGACAATTTAGATTGAGATTGTAAGAGAGATGTTTTTCTCTCAGTTTTACCACGTTAAGTAATGAAATGTAATATACGAGTATGCTGCAACCCTCCTAGTCGATAATAATCGGCCTCATGCCTCATGGTTAACGCAGCACATCCAACTTACACAAACGCAGTTTAGCTAGATCAAAATCATGTGAGTGGAATAATTCGTGTTTATTTTAAGAGTCTAAAATTACAACACTGCGTTATTTATGGGTAGAAAACCAATTATTCCATGGCACGAATTCCTTTGGTTTAAATTCCGTGAAAATTGAAAAGCGATTAGGAAACTGAAGAACAATGATTTGGTCATCGGAATATTTAACATTCCTGAGCTGCCGCATCAATGATGTTAACCACAAGAGAATTGCTACTGTTGTTAAAACATTTTCTGCACTGAGGATCGGAAAGCAATACTGGCGGTGTCAACTGACCTATCACCTAGCCATATAAATTATGTTTGCATATTTGGCGAAAGATTAAGATTATTTGAAGAAAACTTCTCTGCGAAATGACTGGAATACAGTACTGGCAAGTCCACCTATTTTGATCTATGATATTATGATATAACTCTACTTGAGCAAGTAATAATACTTTTAATCAATGAATTGAAAAGTACTAAAATTATGATTGGTGTTTAAAAGTGCAGGTTTGGGTTATCAAATTCCGACTAAGGATAAAAATCTTTAAAAAAAAACATTATAGTCATTGACGAAGACATTGACGCTAATGAAAATAATGGCGAAGAAAAAGAAGCGATTTAAACTAGACCAACTAATTTTGTAATTTACAGTACACTTTATTTGTATTTAGATGAAAAACTAGCTGCCGCATCAATAATGTGTGTGATTCAAAGCCTTTGCTAATTCTATAAACATCACATACTGTTTTGATCCTTAGAGTTCTCAAACTCAGCTTGAACTTATTGATTTACATTATGCTAGTATTTATTGCTATATGACTGAATGCTTAGTTCAGTTTTGTGTCATTTTAGGTAATAAAAGTAAAGCAACTATTGCCCCAATGGAAGTTTTTAAAATATTTTTCGAAAATCTAGAATATAGGAATATTTTTATTATCCGAATCACCTGAGTTTATTAATTAATTAAGGTAACTGAAATTGTCTGTAACTTCTTTTTTAATATTTCGAGAACCACTTCGTAGATTTTAATTTCTAAGAAAGATCTGCAAAAACGCACTCTTTTAATTCAAATACAGGAATACTATTGTTGAATTTAAACAACAACAGTAAGCAAACTTTCAACATTTATAAGAAATTGAAATAGTCACTAAATGCGAAAAACTAGAAACGAAAAGTACCAAAAGTAGAGGTTTCATGGCAACACCTTATCTAAGCAAAACAAATAGTAAAGAAAGCGTAAACGTACTCTGTTTTTATAGAAGTAAAATCAAATACATTCCAAATACAACAAAGAAACACTCCTAAACTAAAAACATGTTACTAATAAATAAAAATTAACAGTATATCTCAAAAAAAATTCATAAAAGTGTACTTTTCTATAAATTTCAAAATATTTTTATATTATTGCATGAATGTAAATATAAACAAGGTTTACTAGAAATGCATGCGGGGAAATCTTAACTGGAGGAATTTTCAATATTTTCTTTTTTGAGTCTGTGTTATAATTTAAGGGTTATCTTGAATATACCAGTGTATATTATTATTTTAAATTTTCAGTCATGACTTTATTCTTGATCTTTCCTGAAATTTATTAGTCCAAAGGGGCATTTTGTACAGAAGGGCTATTAATTTCGTGTTGACATTTTGTGTCGAAAACTTCATCCTTTTCACTTTTAAAACTGTTGCCACCAAATATGCCTGTGCTGCCCTGTTAAAGAAATTAAATAAGGAAGAATCTGCATGAATGTATGTATGTTTCTCGCACTGTGAGAAGACAACGGTACCTAGAGACATCAGATTTTGAATAACGTAATCCTCCACTCGAATGTAGGCATATGGAAGCCCAAATTTGGAATTTGTTTTATTATCTTTTTTGTACTGTGTAAAACGTTAACGAATGTTTGGCTAACAAACTCAAACATTTCAAAATGAGCAATAGTAACACTGCCCCCCCCCACACAAAAAAGTCCAGTGCGGAAGACTGTGCATTGGAAATTTTAAAGATATGCTCTTTTTAAATATTTTGTGATATTGCTGCTGAACTGAATTTCATGGTTTAAGTGAGAAGAACATGATATTTAATAAACAAAGTAAACACACAATGCGTTAAAAAATGCCCGTAATATAAAATGTGAAAGCTTTCAGATTTTTTTTCTTTGATCTCTTCTCGAATTTCCTACTCATTACAATATTAGTTAAACGATGTAGTTTGTTCTGAAATCAAAAGCACTGTAATAAATAATTCAAATAGCAGTATGTGGATTAGAACAATATGCATATTTTGAAGCAGATCGAAATTAGAGTGACATCAAACACTGATGACCAATGTTATCAGAGCAAACATTGCGGATATTATGATCAACCTCTCTATAGCTGGTTCAAATAATTTTAGGACTATATAGTTGCTGAATTTAACACAAAGTGACTCATAGAAAGGAACAATTGGGATTGTTTATACAGCATTGCTGAATGTTGATACAGCAGCAATTTCGCATGTTTTATGTACAGTAAATTGTTTATACAGCAATTTCACTAAATTCTTTCTGAAAAAAAGAAAAATTGAAAGAAAAATGAACATTGGAGGAAGATGTCAGCAAAAACATTTAATTTATCTTAAAACTGTATTTTGAGAACATATTTTAGAATGAATATAACAGGGTTCTTCACAAAGTAATCATCCATTCTGATAAAATGGCAAGTGGTAGTGTTTTTTTTTTTTTTTCTTTTTTGGTAGCACCAGAAATCTCGAAGCTCACTTTCTGTCTGTATCCCATTTGTGTCCAAATCGCTTTTCAAACTGCTGCCACAAAAATTAATCGCGATGTATTATTTTTAAAAAGTATGAATGTTTCTTGTACTGTGGAAAAACGACAGCATAAAGTTTTAATATAGTAGTTCTCCATCCGAACATTGGGCAACTTATAGCCCAAAATTTGAGTTTCGAAAATTTGTTAGAATACTTAACCAACGTGCTGCCATTCAGTAAAGCTTGAAATATTTAATTTTCAGATTTATTGGCAAATCAAGCGAAATTCTTAAAAAGTATATATTATTCTTTTTAGTCTGATTAATTTAAGTAATAATATACTTGAATCATGAGTTTTTAAATTAGCTATATAAAACTATTTCTATGAAATAGCTCTAGCTGGACTTATTTAAATGATTGTATACTTTTTTAAACGATAACTCTTTAGGCGGCTAGCGGTAAAAAAATACATTGCAGCCTCTAACACTCTCTCGCGAATTCTAAAGATGTGCTGTTTTAAAAAATTTGGGACATTGTACTTGTATTTTATACAACGTAAATAGGAAGAAAATGACGCTTAAAATGAAGTTAAAAAAAATGTGTGTGAGCAGGACTGAGTCCAGGAGCAGATTTGTAACCTGCGATGCTCAGAGAGTTATAAAACCTTAACAAATCATCTAATGTTCAAATATAAATAATTTAAAATTTTCCTTTTTTCTGTTTTATTAAATTTAACTTGATTATTATTTTTTAAATTACCATAGCTACCACAGCTGCTAAATCTCGAAACTCACCGTTGCGTCCGTATCTATTCTCAAATAGAAGGATTTTGTATTATTTAAAAATATAAAACAGCGAATATGTATGACAACAGTTAATACTATCATATGGTCGAAATATGTGCTCTTTTTAAATATTTTGCTGTTGAGTTTTATGTGGCGCAAGTGCGAAGAAAATGACCTTTAATAATTACAATTAAAAAAACAAAATATTAATAATAAAAAGATAGAAAAGCTGCGTAAGTCATCTTATTAAGAAAATGAATACTGATAGGATGAACTGAGAAGCAGCTAAAAAACTGATAGCAACATTTAACACTATATCGCAAATTCTAAATATATACTATTTTTAAGAAAATCAATAATAAAATTACAAAGACAAAAAAGTTGTGCAGTCCATTTTGTTCAAAAACTGAACATTGATATAATTAAAGAAGGGAAAAACTGAAAAAATAGAAATATGTAGTGGAACACTCAACATCGGGGAAAATGCATGTTTGATAATAAATTTAAAAATGTATGGGAACACCTAACGCTGTATCGGGAGTTCTAAAAGATATGTTGTTCTTAAATATTTTGGGATTCTGCTCTTGAATTCTTGCAATCATAATGTATGCCAGACCGAATGCCGACCATGCAAGTAGCCAACAGATAATTTTTATGAAAAGATTTCGTAAAACAGGCTTTGGAAATACAATTGTCTAGGAATTCTACATTCTTTGTTTAAAATTTAATTAAGAATGCATTTTGTCTTCCAAATCA